TTCATTCCACGTTGGCCACCTACAGAGTGCCTGCATGCCCACCCCAGGGGTACTGAATCCAAAGCTGCAGTGTAGCGTGACCCCAAGTGATTCTCATGTGGAAAATCGTGTTGAATTGTAGATCTTGGTAATATATCTAGGGTCCCTCCTCCCACTTACTGCTATCGAGTCGATTCCAATTCATAGCGACCCTGTAGGTGAGAGTAGAAATACCCTTTGGGTTTCCAAGGCTGTAATTTTTTGATAGGAGGAGAAAGGCTTATCTTATTCCCATAGAATGGCGGGTGGTTTCGCACTACTGACCTTGTGGCTATCGGGTGACCAGATTTTAACATTGGTAAAGCGGGACACCATTGATAAAACTCATATCCTGGTGAAATAGCCACATGGCAACCGAAAAGAGTATACCCTAGCTCATTGTGCATTCTTTCCAAAAATCAGGACTTTTTAAAAATGCCGCGGGACGTGGGAAAAATTGTTAAAAATTGGGACTGTCCCACCAAAAGCGGGACGTCTGGTCACCTTAATGCAAATTTTCAGTAGGAAATGCCAAATCAGGCAGGCAATCCCACCCATCTTTTTGTCACCAGTCAACATCTTAAATACCTTGTTGTAAATGCTCTCTCCTGCCTTTCCCAAGAGGATCAGAAAAGCCTGCTGTGCTTTCCTGTGGTTGTTTCTTGCATCCTCGCCTGCGTGCTGATTAGAATGACTCCACTGGGCTCTCAAGGTTGTGACTGTGGAGTAGATTGTCAGGCTTGGCTTCCGAAGGACCTCCAAGTAGGTTCCAAGCACCAACCTTTCAGCTGGGGAAGCATTTAACTATCTGTGCTACGCAGGGGCCTCTGCTGCCATAGTGTAAGTATTGTTAATGATAAATGTTGCCACACAACTCTTAGCTCACAGTCTAATCACCCAGCCCATTGGAGCAGGCAAAGCACTATGCAGTATGGCATAACCCATACTGGTCATGCATGTATTAAGGACTCAGATTTTCCATAATGAAGTACTCTTTTTTTTTTTTTAAATGACAGAAAGGTCATGTAAGAGTTGAGAAATATACTTTATCTTCACTTGTAGGAATTCAGATCCCCCCAAAACCAAAACCCACTATCATCGAGTCGATTCCAACCCATGGTCCCCACAGGGTTTCCAAGGCTGTAAGTCTTTACAGAAGCAAACTGCTCAGTCTTTCTCCCGCAGAGCCCCTGGTGGTTTTAAACCACCAACCTTTCAGTTAGCAGCCAAGAGTATTAACCACTGTTCCACCAGGGCTCTAGGAATTGAGATCAAACTTCAACATCTATCCTACCATTTATTATTGAGGTTCAGAATGATTACCCAGAGGCATGTAACACAAAATCCTAAGAAGCACTTTCCTCAGAGTCTCAGAATTATAGTTTGAATGGTTGTCAAGAGGAATTCATATTTAAGAACCTATTAGATGCCAGATGCATTATGAATGTTCTCATCATGACTCTTACAGCGTGAATAGTCCCTAGAGGCCCTTCCATACTCTTTGCAAATCACCTGCTTTGCGCTAGTCTGAAACTATACCTTCTACTGGTGGGGGGCACAGGGACAAATAGAAGCATTTTCCAAAATTGGAGAGTCGAGACATCAAGAAAGGGTTTCATTCATTAGTAGATAATTTCCTAAATGTAATCCTTAATCTTCCTCCCTCGGAACTGCCCTCATTATGCCTTAATTCTAAAAGGTAAAGTAAATTACATTGTTTTCCTACAAGACAGGCCTCCAAATCTTGAAAAAGGGGGGAGTCAATATATTCCTTCTCTTTCTTCCATTCCATTGATCCAGGCTCTCCAATTTCTTCAAACCTTTCTCTTTGATTAATTAATGAAATTTGACTAATCACTGTGCAGATGCACATGCTAAAGTCTTTAAAACACTTATTATACATTTGAATAATTTTCAAGTCAAGATCAAGTTAAGACCACTTATTGTAGGTAAAAATAAACCTAATTTTCTCTCTCACTGCCATCGAGTCAATGCTGACTCATAGCGACTCCTGTGGATTTCCAAAACTGTAAGCATCTTATGGGAGTAGAAAGCCCAGTCTTTCTCCAGGTTCTGCAAAACGGAACAATTGCAAGTTACACCACATTCATTATTTTGGACATTCAATGTTTCCAGTGAGCCTGGCCAGGCTTTCCATAAACTTTCAGGATAACATGACTTAAAGGAAAGGGAAAAGACTTCTTTTACCACTGAGGATTCACTCAAAAATTACATCAGCTGCTTCCCTAACTCCAAAAAATCCTGGCGGAACCCACTCATCTGGCTTCTGGAACCACTGCTGCCCATTGATCTGGCACCCATGGGTTTCCAAGTTAGTCTCCTGGGCCCTAACCAAGGTTCTATACCACCCTACGGTTAGGCAATGAGGGCAGCACAAGCTAGCTCCTACTGCAGAAGAATACTGTGGAATAGGGATGGCTCTGATACTTCTCAAAGCTTTATGGCAGGTCTTCAGATCCTCAACTAGAGTAATAAAAGCTAGTTTGCTAGTCCCATTCCCTCGGTGTACAGCCTTCTACCACTTCTTCCAATCAATTTAGAAGAGTCCAGAACTGATGCTTAAGTCCCACAAAATTCCCCTATCAATCTGACCTGTAAACACACATGCAACTACAAAGAAAATGAACTTCTAGAATTCCAAGAGCAAATGTCCGTAATCACCATTAATCTCAACAAAGTCTTCTTGCACCTGCAAGAACCAAAGTCAAAGAACCAGGAACTGTCTTAGGTAAATCTCACTCAGGGATGGTCACCAGAGAAATCCCTCCCCCT